CAACCCAGTTGATGCCAAACAAGGTGATATCCTGCCTTCTTGTTTTAGTTCTCATGCTATGAGCAAATATCCTTTCTACAGTCTATTTAGTGCCATGTTTCTTAGAACTTTTTGTGCATTTTGTTGATGATTTCATTGTTTAGAAATAGCTCCAGAGAATAGTGCCGGATTACTGTCTACCATCCCTAAATTTAAGAAACCTGTGATATGCCTTAGGAAGCAAATGTGTGTGTACAAAAATGTTATTCAGGAGTTAGTTACAGTGCTGCTGGCTGTGAGTTCAATGTTAATTAATCAACAACATATATTAAATAATGTTATTTAAATAGAAATACTTAAAACAAGCTTACTATATTCACTGGTTGATGAGCTGTTGTAATCAGGTGCTCACAGGAATCCAACTCTGTATACCCTGTATTTCTCTGAGGAGCAATAATGATTCAGCATGCACTAACTGAGTGAACAGGATTACTTTACAAAACATAAGTGCTACAAATAATAAGAATAAACTGTGGACTGGTGATGTAACTCAGTTGAAAAGTACTTCTGGGATCAATCCTGGGTAACCAAAAACAAAAACAATAACAACAAAATATTGTATTTCATTTTTCTTACCAGTAAAAATGATTAGTTGAAATGTTTGCTGGGTGTGGTGGCACATGCCTATAATCCCAGTGGCTAGGGAGGCTGAGACAGGAGGATCAAAGCCAGCTTTAGCAATGGCAAGGTGCTGTAACTCAGTGAGACCCTATCTCTAAATAAAACACAAAATAGGGCTGGTGATGGGCTCAGTGGTCAAGTCTCCTTGAGTTTAATCCCTGGTTACCAAAAAAAGTTTTTAATTTTTCTAATTTTCTTAAATATGATTAAGATAATGAATTATCCTGTATTGACTGGAGTCCCCAATCTTGCTAACTCTAATTAATGTCAGTTAGTTCATCTGTAGATTCTTTTGGGTTTCCTATGTATACAGCCATATCTTTAAAATCATTCACAATTTTGTTTGTGTGTTTTCTAATGCTTTCATTTGTACCATATATTTATTTTTCTTGCCTTATTGTCTTGGCTAAGAACTTCACTGCAAAGCACTGGGCATCATCCTTGTTTTGACAGCTGAAGTTTGTTATTTTTGGAAGAAATTCACCACTAGACAGAAGTCCCTTTCTATTACTGAGTCCTTTTATTAAGGAATGAAAATTTAATGCATTTTTCCTAAATTTTTTGAAATCATCACAAGATTTTTCTTTTACTTCTCAAGCATTAATTTATTTTTCAACTAAACCACATTTCCATTCCCAGGATAAACCCTATTATAGTTAAGATGATTTATCCTAATTATGATACACTAGACTCAGTTTTTTTCCTATCTATGCTCATAAATATAATTCTATTAATTTTTTTCTTTCTCATCTTTTCCTAGTTGGGTTTTGGTGTCAAAATGAATTACAGTAGAGGGGGTAGAGAGAAAAGAGGGGAGGGGAGGGGGGATAGTAGAGGATAGGAAAGGCAGCAGAATACAACAGACATGAGTATGTCAATATGTAAATCAATGGAAGTGTAACTGATGTGATTCTGCAATCTGTATACAGGGTAAAAATGGGAGTTCATAACCCACTTGAATCAAAGTGTGAAATATGATGTCAAGAACTATGTAATGGGGCTGGGGATGTGGCTCAAGCGGTAGCGCGCTCGCCTGGCATGTGTGCGGCCCGGGTTCGATCCTCAGCACCACATACCAACAAAGATGTTGTGTCCACCGATAACTAAAAAATAAATATCAAAATTCTCTCTCTCTCTCTCTCTCTCTCTCACTCACTCTTTCTTAAAAAAAAAAAGAACTATGTAATGTTTTGAACAACCAATAAAAAAAAGAAAAAAAAAGTTATACAAGTTATCATTAAGATGAGTTGAGAAACATTTTCTTTGAAAAAAATTGTGCCTTAATATTGGAATGATTCTTTTCCTTCAAAATTTGGAAAGAATGTAGGTCAGGGATATTTCTTTTTGACATTAGGGATTAAATTGAGGGGTGCTCTATCATTAAACTGCATCCTCAGCCCTTTCTATTTTTTAGTTTTAAATGTGAGTCAGGATCTCACTAAATTGTCCAAGCTGGCCTTGAACTTACAATCCTTCTTCCCCAGTCTCCTTAGTTGCTAGAATTACAGGCATGTGCCACCACACCCAGTTCAAATTTATCTACTTCAGATACTTTTAAAGGAACTTAACCACTGCCTAAATTTTCAAATTTATAGGTATCCTTTTCTTATGGACTGTAACATCTGTAATAATGTCCTCCTTTTGACATTGCTAATAATATTTATGCCCTTTCTTTCTTGTGGTGATGAATCTCATGTAAAATTTTTTAGTTTTATTATTTTTCTTAAAAAAACCTAATGTTTTCTTTGTTAACCTTTTACTGTATATTTGTTTGGCTTTGCGGTATCTTATTCCTAATTTTTATATTATGGGGAAATACATGCAAAATTCGTATATTAACTTTTTGTGTGTACATGGTGGGGATCAAACCAAAGATCTTAATAGCACATACTCTATCACTGAATTATACCTCCAACTCTGTATCTTAACCTTTTAAGTGTACAATTTGATAACATTAAGTATATTCATATTGTTGTGCAACTATCACCACCATTCATATATTTCCAAAATTTTCTTTATTGTGCAAAACTAAAACATGCATGGTGGCACATGCCTCTACTCCCAGGTGCTTGGGAGGCTGAGGTGGAGGATTACAAGTTAAAAGCTAGCATCTTAGTGAGGCCCTAAAGCAACTTAGAGAGACTCTGTCTCTCTTTTAAAAAAAAAAAAAAAAAAAAAAAGAGTTTGGGATGTGGTTCAGTGGTGCAGTGTCTCTGGATGGATTCAATCCCTGGTACCAAAAAAAGCCACCACTACCCCCAAATAAACAAACAAACAAAAAACCTCTGAAACGCAATACGTATTAAACAGTAATTTCCCATCCTACTCTCTACTCCAGCCACTGGCAACCACTATTCTTCTTTCCGCCTTCATGAACTTGAATATGAGGTACCTCACAACATATTGTTTATTTTGCTCTTTTTTTTGAACTTCTGATATGAGTTGAGAAACATTTTCTTTGAAAAAAATTGTGCCTTAATATTGGAATGATTCTTAGCTCATTTTTTGGATAGATTTATGTTCCTTTAGAAGTACTTTATTTATTAATCTGTTTAATCTTCACGAAATCTCTAAGAGACAATCTACACTATTATTCTCAATTTACAGGTGAAAAAAGAAGGACAAGAAAGTTAAATAGCTATTCCAACAAGTGATAGACTTTTAAATCAAGGCAACTTGATTCCAAAACTGGCATTCTAACCTCCAAACTCTGCTGTTTCCCCAAAAGAGGAGATATACCAAGAATAAACACACACATAGGCAAGGACGGAAAAAACATCAAGATATTATTGCAGAGGCTTTAAGTGTCTTCCTCAGTGCTTGAGCCATCTTAGTTACACGTTTCTCTGGATATGGTACTACAATGTAAAAAGAAGTCAGCAAAGGCTACCGAGTGACATGATCTCATTTTTTCATATTTTTAAAATTATAGGTGGACACAATACTTTTATTTTATTTTATGTAATGCTGGGGATCAAACCCAGTACCTCAAGCATGCCAGGCGAGCACTCTGCCTCTAAGCCCTAGCCCCAGCCCCAGCTCCTCATCCTTTCATATTTTTTAATGTTCAATTTCCAGTCTTAAAATGGTTTTATACCACTGATTTAATCATCAGTATTCTTGTCTGCAAAATAATAATCTTTTTTAATTTTCTGGTACTGGAGATTGAACTCAGGGACACTCAACCACTGAGCCACACCCCCAGCCCTACTTTGTATCTTATTTAAAGACAGGGTCTCATTGAGTTGCTTAGTGCCTCACCATTGCTGAGGCTGGCTTTGAACTTGGGATCCTCCTGCCTCAGCCTCCTGAGCTACTGGGATTATGGGCATATGCCAATGTGCCCAGCTCAAAATAATAATCTAGTGGTTTGAGGATCAAAGCAGATATCAAAGATAGAAAGGAATTTTTTAAATCATAAAGCAATATAAAAATATATTTTAATCAATGATCAAAGTATTTACTTGGTAACATTAATTTGAAATAATAATAATGGCATAAATTTTCCTCTTTATCATCGAAATCATCAAAACAGCAGCTAACATTTACGTGTTTGAATTCCGGTCATTGTTCTAAGACCTTGTGTGTATTAGTAACTCATGTATTTATTGTACTCTATGGGATAGTAATATTATCGGTTCTTCATGCAGGTAAGAAAACTGAGATTAATTTAAATTGCTTAATGTTATAGAGCTGGAAGATGGTATAGCTAGGATTCAATCCAAGCTGGTTACAGAGCTTATGGTAATTAATTATTAAAACATCTCTCTAGGGCTGGGGATGTGGCTTAAGCGGTAGCTCGCTCGCCTGGCATGCGTGCGGCC